TACATTGTACAATAATACAATAATATGATAAAAGTTATAAACATAAAACAACATCAATCATCTTATTTACCGAAGGGTAGTAAAGGCACAGTATTAAATGCGATATTCAACCTTAACCTTTGACCCAGAAATCTAAGCCGAGACCCCATCTTTAACCGTGTTTTTGTGACCTCTCGACCAGCGAGGTATCTGTATATGTTATAAACAGTAGAATTATTCGAGCGGTAAACAACAGTCAAAGTATACTGTGTGTTTTGGAACGTAACTATCAACGAATTTCTGTATTGCTAGTTCTCAAATATGTCTGAGATAAAAATTCATCAAAAGTTTAAATGATTTTATCTTTATATGATTGAGTTTAGAAAATCATCTTTCTAAATTATTACACCTGTAAATATGGTAACATTTTACAAAATTTAGCCGATTTCCCAAAAAGGAGAAGGTTATTATTAAAATAACCTTTTGTGTTAGTTGCAACTCTTTAATTTTGACATTGACAGATTCTGTCTTCTGTCAAATTCTGATGTCAAAACTGTCAACAGTGACCTTACGTGGTTTTTTATTATTAGAGTTTAGAAATATTATTGCAATACACGATGAAATTTAAATCATTTACAGTCAATCTAGAGATTTTATCACAGAACATATGGTGCAGTGAACGGCGCAATTATGTTGTTTATAGGTAGGCCTCACGAAACTGAAGACATGAAGTGTGGTTGCAAATTAAAAATTAACACAAAAATGATTGTAGATAGATGTAAAACTGTGGTAATCTTGTCGAGCGTGGTGTGTACCCTTGCCGTTGTCATATCGCTGCACAAATTGTTAAACCATGAAACAAAATTCGCGAAACCATTTGCACCCATACCAGATGGCTTGTATGGAAACTATTTGGAGCCTATTCCTGAAGAAACTCCGAGTCCGCCCCCTCGGAAACCGTATGATAAAACTCGCGATGCTGAAGCAGTCGTTTCGTTAAATGCCGCGTTGGAAATGAAAAAGGTTGGTAAAGATGACAAAGCATTGAAATTGTTTCAACATGCATTCGCCCTGTCGCCGAAACACGCAGACATATTAAATCACTACGGAGAGTTTTTAGAAGACACTAAGAAGGATATTGTGAGAGCAGATCAACTGTACACATTAGCTTTAACAAATTATCCTGAGCACACTGGAGCGTTAGAGAACAGGCAAAGGACAGCCAGCATAGTGGAGAACTTGGACAGAGAGATGTTGAGGAAAATCGATGAGAAGAGGGATGCACTATCATCCATACCAGAGAGTAACTCAGCTTTACGGAGAGCTAAGAAAGAGGCTTACTTCCAGCACATATACCACACTGTAGCCATTGAAGGCAACACCATGACATTACAACAAACACGTAGCGTGTTAGAAACCAGAGTAGCAGTCTCTGGAAAAAGTATAGATGAACACAATGAAATCCTAGGTCTAGATGCAGCTATGAAGTACATTAATGCGACTTTGTTGTACCGTTTACGAGCAATCACAATGGGTGACATTTTAGAAATTCATAAAAGAGTGCTGGGTCATGTTGACCCCATAGAAGGAGGTCAGTTTAGAAGGACACAGGTGTATGTTGGGGGTCACATTCCTCCTGGACCTTCAGAAATACAGAGGCTTATGATTCAGTTCCTAGAATGGTTGAATTCTGAAGATGCTCTAGACTTGCATCCTGTCAGGTAAGACAGTTATTTATTCTACTTATTTATTATAACTGTTCTTTGACATTCTGTGGCAAATAACAGTTATGATTTTTTTCTACATAGGTACGTATGTATGTATACTTATAACTTAAATTATACTCTTATGAGTTATAATAGGCTTATAACATCTGTCTATTCATACTCTTCTTTATTAACTCGTCGAGTACCGTCATTATAGACACAATTATAAAACAATAGGTTGCGGTCACCGGTGACCGCTTGGTGTTTGACAGTTTAATATGTAAACTGCCATGTCAGTCACTGGTGGCAGACACTTAGCGGAGGATTTGCCTTCAGCAGGTTTCTGTCAGCAGTCAAAAGTTTGTAAGAGCAATGCGATGATTATATTAGGATATTATGACTTCTGTTACTCCTATTAATAGCTGCTATACAGTTATTCCTTAGACAGTTGGTTTGGAAACCAAAATATTCAAAATAAAAAGTGCAATTCCTAACCAGTAGAAGAATAACATCTCCATATTCCAGATATGCAGCTCTAGCCCACTACAAATTAGTCCACATTCATCCATTCATTGATGGCAATGGTCGCACATCCCGTTTGCTCATGAACCTGCTACTGATGCAGGCAGGATACCCACCAGTGATAATTGCCAAGCAGCACAGACACCTCTACTATCAGCATTTACAGACTGCCAATGAAGGAGATGTCCGACCTTTTGTTAGGTAAGTCGAGACAAACTACTAGTTATGAACTATGATACTTTTTGTTTTCATCATAGAAATTGTATTCCTACCTAAGTTAGTGGTATGAACACATTAGATTCCTTTTTTTATGTTTTAATACTTTGCCATACATACTATAAATATGGAGAGATTATTTTATTGGTAATAGAATATAATTTGTAGCTATTGTTTGTTGTCCAAATGTTTACAAACATAAAACCGAAATACGTTATTTTTTGTTCGAACAGGATATTGTGTAAATGTGTACCATAGTTTACAGTTAATTGCTAAAGTAGCAATTCATAGTAATAGTATGTCTTGCAACGTGCCTGCAAACATCCGCCGTCTAATTATTTCAGGCCCTCCTTTTATTAAACACAATAATTATGTCCACGCTCTGAGCTAATGCACTTTGTACTGAATCCTTCAACGCTTCACATATTTTTCGAAGATTACACAAATTAATTCCGACATAGATCACTTCCAACTTTCATCCATAACAACTTAAAAAAACACAAAAATAAAATACAGATGAGAGTAGGTAACAATTAAACTAAAAAAAGCCAATAGAATTTATAAATTTATAAAATACTTTTAAGCTATTTTAATTTTAAATTTAGCCATTGTCTAATTTCCTCTCCAGATTCATCGCGCAATGTACGGAACGGACCCTAAACTTGTACCTATGGGCGACTAGTGAATACTCCCACATGGTGCCCGCCATCGGGGAGCCGCACATACTTACAGGCGAAGGATTCGAAGAGGACATGCTCTGAACGTGAACTACACATTGCAGGACTACAAAAATGAATATAAACTAGGTATAAAATTATAAATTGAAGAAACACCACTCAATTTGAAAGTATAAAATAACGATTTCAAATTGAGTTGTGTTTTCCTGTTGATTCGTTATAAATAGTATTTATTATGTGAATGTCTTGTTTAGAAGTCTGATCAATATCTAGGTTAGATTTTAGATGTGTGACAGGATATTTATGTATTTTTAACTGGTTGATGTTAATGAAATCAGAATGCCTTAGCCTTGATACCTCAATTTAATTGTAACTTCGCGAAATTTATCAGTCTTTTACAAGTAGGTTTTAGACGATTTTTATTTCATGTATCCTTGGTTATGAAGATTGTCATAATAATTAAATTCGTGTAAATAGGTACTACCTAAATATGAAATGTGCATTTCGATTAGTTGCTAAAGTGTAGGAATGTTTTCTTCCATAATAAAGAATACCTGCTGGCAGGTAGTTGTAAGTAGCCATATGCACTCGTTATAACAATACGTCATATTCTATGATATAAAATCAAATGAATGTACAGTGACTTATTAGATAAATTGGTTCTAATATTTTATTTTATTACTAACAAACCATTGATTAAAATATCATGAAATATTTTGTGATGAGCTCTATTCTTCGGGCTACGATTAAAATAAACTTATTAGGATAATTTGTATATTTATAACTTTAACCAAAGAGATCGCCTTATTTGAGTGGTCGCCGCATTCCTTTACAATACCTAAAGAGTTGAGATTATATACTTCTGTTCGAGATTATTGTCGCAAGAACCACAATAGTGCTTCCACAAATGTATGCATTCCTAAGCAACTTTATTTCCTACGTACAGTCATAATATTATCAGCATTTATTATGCATGTTACATTTAAATACTTGTAAATCGTGAAATTAAATTAGGTTTGTTTTGCTTCTGTAATCGATTTGTTACTGTCCATGTATTAATTTCAGGCAAGTTAATCTCAACTCGTACACAAAAAATTAACAATAAAAAAAGAAAAATACATACCTAATAATAGTTTTTACACATAATGGAATTACATTTTCAACTTTAAAAACATTGGTTTTAGTATATCTGAACATCACTATGTATGTGCTGTGATATTTTTATTTATTTATTTCTTAAATTAGGATTGCACAAATTGTCGAGTGAATTAGACAACGGTAGTCGACAAATTGTTGATTTGTCTTGTATAGTAGTAGTATTAGACAAAATTCGACTTTTAAGTTGAAACACTTGCGTGCTATTTCTGGTTATACTAAATTGTATCACATTATGTTATCGATTTAAAATACTTTTGCCATAATTTATTGACTTATGTACTGAAAAATTGAATTGTATTGTATTGTAATTTAATTATTTTTTCTGTATTTAATGTGTAAACAGAACTTGATTATTCTATATTTAAAATATCATTTGAAGATACGATTTTGGAAGTGTTCTTTCCGCCTACTAATAAATGCATAGAAAGGGCCAATGAGGTTAAAAATTAGGTATATGAGATTTAACAATAATCATGACAGATTATTACTAGGTACTTAAAAAGGTCCACGGCTTACTCGAGTACGCTTTTCGGAGATTATAAATACATTATTTCTTTGTTAATCAATGTCTTTATGTAATATCTGTAATATCAAACAACAAATGTCCACTCCAATTAATCGTTCTGGCCATATATTACCTGTAATACCACAAGGAACAAACCGTTCATACTTCATGTTTATAAACCGTTGGTCCACATTACAGTCTGTAACATTTCTGTAAAAACCATTAGGTACTTGATTGTACGTGAAACTTCCTATAAATTATTATTGTTGCGTTTATATTATTAATGTAAGTTTTGATTGTGTACTTATATTAGTCTAGTTTGTGTTGTCTTCCAGTATTTACTTGCGACTATTTATTTGCATTTCCATGATACCAGTACAAACTTGCTCTAAAATATAAATGCTAAGTACTTTGAAATATTACAGCGTTTTATTTTTTACCTATCTTTTAGCTGAATATCAAACAAATGTACCTAAGATTTTTTTTTTATACTTTATAGGTCGACGTTTGACCACCATCTCGCCTGATGGTAAGCGATGATGTGGTCGACGATGGAGCACGCCTACCTATGAGCAACCTGTTCACTCGGGACTTGAAGACACCCAAGTCATATTTGACGGGAAACACAGCCTCTGGCAAGGAATTCCATTCTTTAGCGGTTCGCATGAGGAAGCTTGACACGAAACGCTGCGTTCGAATGGGTGGAATGTCCACCATATAAGGGTGGCGTCCCGCCGTTCGCCTGGTGGTACGGTGGTGAAATGGACTAGGGGGAATGAGTTTGTGCAATTCCCACGCACACTCACCGAAATGTATCCGATAGAAGACCGAAAGGCTTGCGATTTTGCGCCTGTGTTCGAGGCTTTGTAGCCGAGCCTCCACAAGCGAATCGTCATTGATGAGATTCTTGGCACGCCTCTCGATGGATTCGAGGGCTTCTAACTGGTATTTCGCTGAGCCATCCCAAAGATGGGAGCAGTACTCCATACAAGACCGAACTTGTGTTTGGTAAAGAGTGAGCAACTGCTCCGGCGTGAAGTACCGTCTCACCCTCGACAGGACACCCAACTTTCTACCAGCCAGTTGCGCCTTTGTCTCGATATACGAGCCAAAATTGAGAGTGGGCGTCAGAGTTACGCCTAGAAGCTCGAGACGGTCACCCATCGGAACGGACACATCCCGGAAAGTAGGAGTCAGTGGGAACCGACTCCGTTTAGCGGAAAACAGACACGCCTGGGTTTTGCTGGCATTGAACCTGGCCAGATTGGCGTCACCCCAATCGGAGACCGCCTGCAAGGACAGGTTCAGACGATTTACCATAGATTCTCTCAGAGACTGGATTTGAGTTGCACTGGTTCGCGCATCGGACACATACCTCTCAACAACGTTCGTCTCGATCGTTTTTAAATCACCAATTTATAGTAGGTATAACTTCAATAGGTATTTATCGAAAGGGTAATTTTGATGAGATAACATAACAATAAAACATCAAAACAATTTTGATTAATTTATTATAATGTGCGATGTTAAAATAAAGTTTATAATAAAGCATTTAACTAGACAACTAGAGCGGGAACACGCCGCACCAGCATTCAACACTTGTTCATTTATCCAAACGCTTCTATACAAAAACTAATTCATCCCAACGCGGTTACAATCTCGACGATATTATTACAATTATTCAAAAAAAGTATAATAATTATAGTAAGAGAGATTTTGTTCAGTACGATCAAACATCGGCGCAGCAGCCACTCTGATACAGAGTGCCGATTTGTTTTAATTATTTATTAATAAGCGCTATCTAAATATGTTGTAAGCTACAGTATACATAGTTTCCTCGGAACGGGCAATAGAGCCGCGGATGTGGGCCGCTTGAATACGCTCGCATATTCACACAACTATCGACTCAAACATCACTACATACAGAGTTCATAGTCACTTGGAATTTAGAATTAGATCTAGCCACAAAACCAATGATCCCAAGGAAGTAACTAGCTCCTCATGACATAACTGTTTTAGATTATACTCTATGGAAATATCCGAGCGATTCTGCCAAGTAACGGTCACAGTCCACGTTTCTCGCACTATTCACGACAAGAAAGAAACTAAAACTATCGTTATCTTCTTGAAATAAAAGCGAACATAATGTCGTTCAAGGACCCCAGGGGTTAAGGTTAAAAGCAAAGTCTACACCTAGCACCAGATGAGCAGATATTAAACGACAAAACACGTTCGGGTTACGTTTATTTATTATTCGCAGACATAATAAATTGTGGTTATTAGATCAAATTACAAACAAAAAATTTATGCATATTTGGAGCGCACAACGCTCTATATTCCATTCTATGATTCATAGCATACAACGTGAACTCAATCAATACAATGGATATACATAATCATTGGAATACCAAGCGTCCATTCCAGAATGGAAGATAGCGAGCGTGACGTCACGTGAGGTCGCGGGACTACACTCGAGTAGTATAGTATGCGAGTACTATCACAACATAATAAATAAGTCCATTACGAAACATCAAGTATTATAATGTACTGACTTGAAAAACTTACATAGTTACATAGTCTTTAAGTAGTTTTACTATTTTTATTAATATTAAAAAAAAGTGAGTTGTTTTACGATTTTTAAAGGACGATGATGTTTTTATAAAATAAATTACAATATTTATGGTAAGAGTAAATATCTGTGTATAGAAATTTATCTCACCAGCCCTAAGCATGCTAGTCGTCCAATAATAAGCCACAAATCTATTACTGTGTCAGATTGCACTAAACTTGCAATATTACGTTGAGTTCTAACTTGACACAGTAACATGGAAATGTGAAAAAGACATAAAAATGCGAGTGAGAGCTTTGCTCCCGCCCGCTTTATTCAAAGTCAAATCACTGCCTATTAGCATAATCATGAGCGGTTATTAAATAAAGCATTGACAAGCCGAGGTGAGCGAGTCTCCTTCCAAGATTAGCAAAAAAAAACCCGGTACAATAGATGCGGCACTATGCACGAGCAACCAACTCCTTAGTCCAGCCATCTATCGAGTTATACCATGCCTAGTTGAAGGCCTAGCGAATTCAAGCACCATTATGTAGGAATTATCAGTTAATGTGTAAAAATGAAAGTTAAAATACTGATTAATAAAAATAATATATTAAATCTTAAATGTTCCGTCAAGACATGATATAACTTGATAATTTTTACAAATATCTACATTTGTCACGCTAATGTTCGAAGTCAAAATATGAAGGAAAACATAAGATTGCATTTGAAAACATATTGAAAGATATACCTTAACAATGGACAGCTGTGGGGAATATTTCAAGACAACATTTAACATAAATGCCACCGCTAACAACCAATGTAATTTGAACTCTGAACTTTCACAATAAAATTACCTTTTTATGTTCCAATTAAACTGAACGTTATTCTAGAGTAAATTGTGTTTGTATAAGTAATAATCTCATGTTTTGGAATGTTTCACAACTCTGAATATTGTCCCTACAGGTGCCCACTACGACTTAACAACCAACTTTTACATTTCTAGCCGAACTATGCTCGTATAATTACGTAATATGTGACATATACTTGTGTTTCGAGTGTCTGTATCTATAAAACTTAGCAGACATCAAACTTGCCTTCGAAGTAGTCACCGTCACAGTCAAGTCTTGTCCAAATAAATATCCTATTCAAAAAACTATGACGTGAATATCTTTAGTCGATTAAGCATTAAATTGTCTACAAGTCGGGAAATAAATCAGTCAATCAGTCGAGAGTAACATAAGAAATAATAAAATGAGAAATAAAGAAAGATTAAGTTAGAAAAAATTAAGTTATATTTAATAATATCATTAAGACATACACATAGAAAATATACTCATAAATAATGAAAAAAACATAGTAAACAGATTGTCAATAGTCTGTCATACACACATACACTTGAAACACAAATATTATAATTATTATAACAGGACGTCGCTTTAGTTCACAACGAGAGGATAACAAGCGATTTTATATGCAACAGATATGTTAACCGATCACATGATACTCAACATTTATACAATATTTTACTTTATATGTATTACATTAAAGATTATTTTTGTCTCAATCCAATGTTAAATATTTCGTTGATTTACGGAAAAGAAATAATTAACTTACATTGAACTTTGACATGTTTCCTGGTACAATAAATTACCTGCTTCTAACTATTACAGGATCAAGACAAAAACATTCCCCGTTCGATGCGTAAAGTATTAATTCGCAATTTTCATTCAAAATATCTAATTTTAAAACAAGTATTTCACAACATTCCGAGTACTTCGTTACGCCAAACACATTACACATAAACAATTTTGTCATGAAAACAATCACAGTAACTAATCCGTCAAAGCTGTCAATCTTGGCTTAATGGGCAAGAGGCCAAGTTGAAGAACTATAGTAAAAGCTCAAAAATATCATCGCCAATAATCAACAACGCTTGGCTGAATCCAGCGCAGCCAAGTGTGAAAATAAAAGGTACCAAGTTATAGGTCTATATTATGATGGACAGAATTATAGTTACATTCGTGTTTTTAAAAACATTGGCGCAACTAGGGCTTTCGATAAACGCTCGTGGCCTGCACCTTCTACCTCTATTCTAAGAATGGCTCCAAAATAAACGCAATTTTGGTCTAAAAAACGACCCCTAACATAATAATTTGAAGTTAGACTCACAATTCTAGTAAAATAAAGGCTACAAAGTTCCGAGAAGCAGATAAAGTGTTAGCGTATATTCCGTTGCCTGGCTGAGTGCGGGAGTCCCCGCCTGCCTAGTCACGCCAATGAGGAACTACATCACAATCACTGGGACCACCTCACTGTCACGTTTGTACTTCCAAATCTCCCGGTATATAAAAATATCTACAGTTCGACAATAGGCCTTTAGCGAAAGTTAAATGCATCCAGAATAAGTGACTTATCGTTAATAGGGTAATGTCTCGCACCTTACAATTACATGATTCGATTACATGTTAGGTATCGATCGACAAACGTATCTACCGATGTCTAACATATACTTTGCATCTTTAGTACGCGCGAAGGAATCAATTCACTTGCCGAACACCGTTAAATATAATAATACAACTAAATGTTAGGGCAAAATCTCAACACAAATTACGTATACTGTCGATAAGTGAATTCATACCACCGTAGACTTTAGTACTGTATAAAGTATTACAGAAACTAAAGTTAGATATTTACTAAGGATACTCGTAATAGCACGTGTAGTCTCCCACCATCGCACTCGGCCAACATTTGTGCTTCATTCACTACAGTACAGTAAACAGTCTCTCGATTCCAACACGACGGCACATACCTCGGTATACTAAGCTTTACAATAATATCAAACAAAGTGGTCACAACTCGCTCTCGTATCCCAAACGCAGGCAAATCAAAATTGAAGCGATTATACAGTAGGCCAGCTACACACGGTCACCAAACATTGAATTTGTCTCAATACTGATTGCTTTGTACACAGATACACTGCTAGATGGCAGTGTATCTGTGTGTCAGCTAGTTGTCACGTGCCCGACCGCCATCTTATGGCTGCATTAGCGCGCACTACACGCAACGTCGCCGTCGATACGACATAGGAATTAAAATTCGATTTTCTAATAAGTGAACAACGAGATTCTTAACTTCTTACAAATCGTTTGTCTAAAGCTCCACTCTCAAAAATTCCTATTTTAATCCGTCTTTCAATATCATCCACTTTGTACATTTTGTAAAGGAGCGTTCAAGACAGTTAGGTGCATCTTGGGAAATAGATGCACCATAGAATGTTGTATTGCAATGAAGGCGAAAACGAAACGACTAGCGGTCAGTCTGTTCTAAAAGTATCTCGTCGTAATACTAACAAGTAAGCCGGTAGTAGCGACCTGTCTCCTAGTGGACGATTCATGTCATTCGGTACGGGAAGAGTACCTCACGACGTATTCAATAAATGGCATGCTCCATCCGGAGATGGCGGAGATGGATCATTAGACAGGTGTTCCATGAGTGATGATGAGACACGATCCGGTAGTAGTGGGTGTAGGTGGGTGTAGTAGACCCGCTAGTGGTGCCGCGGTGGTGGCTGTATGCGGCGGGAGATATGTTCCTCCTGTTGCATCTTGGCTCGGAACTCAGCGACCAGGTCCCGGGACTGAGCCAGTACTGACAACTGCTCGTTCAGTAACTCCTCCCACTGCGTCGCGTATGCTGGAATTGAAAGATAGATTTTAATTGATATTACATAGTGGACGAGTGGTACATGTTAACTATTAGTAAAACATATTAGGAATTTCAAAGAGCTCAAAGCAAGATCAAATTAAAATTTTGATGAACATAACCAAATGATTGAATGTGTATTACTGCAATATATTGATTTGTAAAGCTAAAAACCAACATATTGCAAGTTCAGTTTATGATTAGTAAATATTTAAAGTAAATAGTTTCAAGGTCTGCTACCAAAAATAAAGAAAAATTTTGACAAAGCGAACCCAATTATCCCTGTGAACGTCAGCATTGGCATGAACGACGCGCTGTCAACGGTGAAACTGTTTAGTTCGCGATTCCGTACAATTTGTAATTATTATTATGAATCAGATGAAATGACAAACACGGAAAACAAATACAGCGAGTGTTTGTGAGCTAAAACACGATTTCAAACAAAAATGTGTTGGAAACATCTATCTCGTGCCAGCTTTTTAAATATTGTGCTGTGCTTTTTGCATTTGCTTTCGAATTTTGTTTAATATTTTTTGTATTTTCGTGTGAAACTATTGGATTGAGAAATCTAGTGGACGTTTGAAGTTATATGAAGTATTATTATTATTGCGTCGCGTCCTCTACCGGTGTTATAGAGATCCCTCCCAAACCTATAAGTCTGCGATGTCGCGCGCGTCGCGTGCCAGTGCGGTCGCTCGCCAGGGAGCGGAGTCGCTTGGCGCGGGCCTGTGTGCCTGCAACACCACGCACTCACGTACCATGCAGGGGGCAGACATATCGGCATGTACACTGCCAGACAGCACGCATGCAGACATACATGCATCCAGACTCGCAAGCCAGATGTCATTCAATAAGCACACATATAAATTTATTTTTACGTAAAATGTACGTAAAGGCTGTCAACACGTTTATTGCCCCGACAATGTAAAATTTTCCTTTCGAAGCGTATTGCACAAAGCGCAAGAGATGAGAGCAAAACGATCAAACACTTTTGGGTACATGATACTTTCCTAGTCATTAAGTTTGCTGATGCAAATGAATTTAATATAATTAGAAACGCCAACAATTATTTTAAGAAACATCATTAACAAAAAACACATAATAAATGAGTATTTACCATCCTGATCGTAGTCCACATCCCGCGTGATGGCGAGTAGTTGGTTACACCGCTGCAGAGCGTGCTGCAGGTAGTCGGAGATGGCCTTGTGGTTGTCGAGTACTTCCTCCTCGGCGCGCTGCATCTCGTCGATGGCCTCGTGGAACGTGTACATCTCCGCCGACATGTCGCCCTCCTGGAATATTGACGCGAGGTTTATGCACGTGATTCTGTCTTGCAGAATTCATATTTTACTACATTACTAAAGGAGAACGGCAGATTTCGTACCGCTTTGCTAAAAAAAGATTTGTCATTGTTTTGCCTTGGGCAATTGGGTAGCTATAGAATCCTCTAAATACGTTATGTTAGCATATTTAATAGATTTTTAGAACTTGGGAAGCCCTAGAAAATCTCATATTCAATAATGATAAGAAGCAATCAACAAAACGGCTACATATTAAATAAAAACAAACCGCGATTGACGTTTATAAAGTTGCCATGCGTAAACATGAAATCAGAGTATATTGAATGTCGCTATTTCATAAACTCATTTATTTTAATATCAATGGAATATTTTCCTTTCCATTTCAAACATTTTTTATAAGTAAATATCATTATTTTAATTTCATTTTGTGAGGTCTACATGGATTATTAACGATAATTAACATTTTCACAAACTTGAATATGGCAATGTTGAACTGGTATTTGACATTTGTTGTTGAAGACGATTTGTCAATGTCAAGTGCGCCTTGCTGTTGGTTTCGAATGCGGTGTTATGATGTGTTTGTACAAATTGGAAGTCATTTTATTCATCTGGTGATACTTTGAGTTGGGCAGCCGTTCCTCCGTAGCCGAAATTGTGAAAATACACTTATTTTCATTTGTGCATAGTGTGTTGTATTTTGTCGCGATGACGAATTTACAGTGCATTAATTACAACCAGAGTTTGTCGCATGAGACGGCATGCTCTAGGAAATGAGAGTGAAGACTAGACGTGGTCAACAATATCCCATTGTGGACTTATCCTAGAGATGTAAGTAGGTACTTACCTATAATTACACATGACGTATCGAAAGTCACCTTGTTGCCTAAATAAAGGGGGCATAGTGTTATCTACCTATAATGTATCATTTTATTCTAGATCTCTCCTACCGACCATATTTGCCATGCTTGCTGGCAATTAGCAATGTATTGGGATGTTCCTGAAAGTATGTCCAGCAAACAAACTGATCATTGACATGTCTGTGTCGTATGTGGGCATTCCATTGCAAGGATAAGGTGACGCAGGGGTTTAATTGAAGGCGCCAACGAACAGGAGCAAAGACTAGCTCATATAGTATCTGATTGGATTCAGCCACGAAAGGTAATAATTTATTGTATTAACCATATACTATTATCATATAATTTAAAGTCAATATGACATTCTAATAATATTACTTTTTTTAGCTTACTTCCAATGATGAAGATCGTGTTCCATGCTGGCTGAGAGCCTTAACAAGAGTCGGATCTATAAGACCACAACCTGACATACCACCTCATAGTGTTCACTATCAGGATGTAATGTGTTATGTAAACATTTAAAAAAAAAAAAAAAAAAAAATTGCCCCACACTAGGATTTTCTCCTGTGTCGTGGGTGCGTTTACAAACATACAAGTTCACATACACAATGGACTAAGCCTCACTTTAACATTGCCGTTTGTAGAACAGATGAGGCCAGAAGATGTTGATCGGCTGTCAGAGCTTCAATAGGTATGTGAAGTGTATAACCGGTTTATAATAGGTTTATACACATGTTATAATTATAATAATTGATTAATTAGCATGCTGTTTGAGCTCCTATGATGTGTGTTATAGGAATACCCTATTAAACTGTCAAACACCAAGCGGTCACCGGTGACCGCAACCTATTGTTCTATAATTGTGTCTATAATGATGGTACTCGACGAGTTAAAGGCATTTTAACATTGTAAAATCAAATAATGTAATCAAATATTTATTTTTATCTTTTCTATTTTGAGATAGGGAATCAGAATTATAACATGTGAAACTAATGGAAAAAATGTTGTTTTGTTTACTTTATTTACAGTTATCTTACTTGTTTACAGATATCAGCAATTAATGAAGTGTGTGCTGTATGACACCGCCTGCTCTCTTTTTAGAAGAAGTACTCCTAGAAACAACCTAAATACAATGAAATAAAAGTATTTCAAAATAATACATTTGTTTTATTTTAAACAGGTACCTAGTAACTATATATAAACAATCTATAAAATAAATGCCATCTTTATTTTAGATTGCTTTAGTTTTATACCAAAAATGTTCATTTTCATTTTACATTTCTTTACTTGTGTTGTGGTGGCCAGGAGGTTTAAGAAGCCCGTTTCTCATGCATGAGAGTGCAAGTTGCAACGGCAAAGTACCAATGTGACTTTTTCGAGTTATGTATATATATTTTTTATTTATTATTTAATAATCTAAGAAAGTACAAAGACACCACTGACAAACGGTGAAGGAAAACATTGTGAGGAAACCTGGGCTTATAATTTCTAATTATAAGTTTGAAATCACCAACCCACATTAAGCTAGCGTACTGATTAAACTGTCAAACACAGAGCGGTCACCGATGACCACAACCTATTGTTCTTTAATTGTGTCTATAATTACGGTACTCAACGAGTTAATGCTTAAACCTAATCCAGTGAGAAGAGACCTTCGGTCGGCATGGGCCACTTATAGACTTAATGATGAAACTGATGATGATTTTACTTATTTGACTTACTTATTAGAAATTAAACCTTAAAACGCTTGCTAAGCAACCAGTTTTCAGAAGAAATACTTTCTCAAAGAGCTACGCTTAAGTTTAAATCGAATTAACTTAAAGACTATTTGTATATCAGGCCTCTGCCTCGAATCTTGATTTTACACATTAAATCTTGCATCTGCCCGCAAGATTCAAGGTGAAGTGAGACATTAGTTTTATCATATCCGCCAAAAGACGTCCACTGCTAAATGTAGGCCTTCTACCCAATGACAGTCGCTCACAATATTAATTTGCATTTTCGTAGGCACCTAGTAAATGAAAGAGATTGTAAAGCATACTCTGTAAAACTCTATAGTTACAGCATACTTGCTGAATTAACAGTTAATTAATTTACTCATAATACAAAGTGTAACAGTCACGAGTAGCGAGCAGTGTTTAGAGTTTAGTTTGTAAACAAAACAACCAAATAAAAAATAAGTCAACATTGACATTTTTCAATTAACTGTCATCTGTCATTTGTCATATTATGTACTTTTGCGTAAAGGTGGCATTATACTTGACATTGCGTATTTGTTGTGTACGGCCAAAACAGACCATGTGTGGAGGGTTTATTCGTCTTCATTTGCTATATACGTATATTTGCACGCTTTTACATTTATAGATACTATTTGGACGCCATTTGTACGTAGTTCACAAATATTTGTACAAATGAAGCGAATACGCAATGGCAAGTGTAATACCGCCTTTACGTACCTTCTGCACATTTTCAAAGTGAAATAACTTTTGAACCCGAAGTTCTAAAAATATGTAATTTTTTTCTAAACTTCATAATAAAAATATCTATCGTTCAGACCATTCACTTGGTTAAAACAATGACAAATACAAAATTTTATAGCGGTACCAAACCTCCATACAAACCTGCCATTCTCCTTTACAAGTGCGAGCCATGCTTCGGCAGGAATGGACCGGCTCGATCCGAGTGATATCACGACCAAGCACAAAACGTGTGAGGGAGCTCCTCCCCTTCCCCAATCTCCCCAATACCTGAATACCTGAATCCCCAACCATCCTTAAACTCCTAATCCCCAGAAGGCGTAAATCACTTTAACGTCTCGGGTGTTCCAGGTTTCCATGGGCGACGCCGATTGCTTACCATTCCGTTCCTTTCCGTCTGGTCATTTACCGGCTAATGCCGTAAAAAAACTATGAAATCGATCGATAGTAACGTGACAGTTATACTTCCTGCTTATTTTTCTCGAATAAGAATTTACATTTAGAAATAAAGAAATAAAAGTATTAGTTACTTTATTAACAGACCGACAACGTCTCTATAAAAAGACATTCAAAGATGTCAACTGAAAATGTTATTTTATTTTTAACTAGCGACCCGCCCCGGCTTCGCACGGGTGCAATATGCATGTATTATACATACAAACCTTCCTTAAGAATCACTCTATCTATTAAAAAAAACCGCATCAAAATCCGTTGCGTAGTTTTAAAGATCTAAGCATACATACGGACATACAGCGAAAGTGACTTTGTTTTATACTATGTATTGATTCAACATTTATGCTGTTCTTATTGATTTACTAGTTCATAAATAATAAACGTAAAGTTAAGATGTTTTGCCAAGAAAATAATAACTTACATTAAGTGAGCGCAGTTGTGCGAGATCATGTGCAGGGGGTTGGTCCATATCTACATCAGCATCATCGTGTCGTCGGGCCGGGTCTGCGCTGCCCAGCTCCTTCACTCGGTCCGCGTAACGTAACGTGTTAAGGGAGTGCTCGCAGGACGACATGGCGGGCGATATCATCGCTATCATGCACGTACGGGACTTGTCGCCGATGAAGGAATCTCGCAGAACTTGCGTGAGCTTGGAGACCCGGAAGGGGAGGTGGTTCTGTCCCTTCATGCCGAGCGCGCGGATGCACTCCTTGAGCGCGAGCAGCGACTTGTTGATCTCGGCCGACTCCATGCGCGTCTGGCGGCTGGCCGACGACGTGTCGGCGCCGCGCTCGTTGCCCGCCAGGTCGATCAGCGAGAACTTGCCGTGCACGCGGTGCATGCCCGGCGACCGCACCACGATCTGGAACACCGCGTGCGACCGGGACGAGTTCGAGTTCGCCGACGTCTGCAACAATACACGCCCATCAGTCGGAGGATGTATTAACTGCCTAATATATCTTCGCTATTATAAAGTTAAAAATATTCTTGATACCTCAATAAGCGGATCGAGTCAAAGACTTTGAGATAAGGCGTCACTAGGAAAAGAATATGTATAATTGTATTAGTATGTGTTACCTGTCCGGAGGTTCGCGCGGCGTTTCCATGTTGTATAAGTTTGAGCACCTCGTCGACGTTGTCCACGACCTTCTCAGTGAGTCCGACAATCTGTACTTGTTGCTTGCCGTCCTCCAACACGCGTAGCTTCGCCTTGTCCGCCAACAAGTCAAACACCTACAAAATATACATACATACAAGTCTTTGGTACTAAAATATCTAAACACAACAATATTACATACTAGATTCTACTATTTACAAAAGCAAATAGATTAAGATTACTTTTTCTTATTTTAATAAACGAAAAATCTAATGAGAAATTCTTGTATTCTCATTCTTCATGCTACTTACCTTTCCAGAATATATTTCAAAGAAGGAGGCAGACACTATAAGATTCAATGGCTTGTATTTGGGCGACTTGAGATACGCGAATACATCCCGCGCCGCCATTGCGTATATACCTTTCTTGCAGTCTTGTGTTTTGCCCTGGAACATACAAACATGAAACATTTTAGAAACTTTTGTTGAAATCGCATTAAACAGTGTGTTTGGGTCTATTCCACAAAAACAAAACCGCTGACGAAAACCTAATAAATACTTAATTAAATTGTTCGACTAATTTTGGGCCACGTCAAGAGCCCGTAATTATAACTAATAATCAGTTAAGCGAGTAATTCCGTAGTAAAACCACATAAATATAAAATTACACACACTATTACTATTAACACTTAGAACACAGTATTTTTTTTTATGGGACAAGTCCGCCACAACCTCCCAAAACCGCTGCAACTCCTGTAAGCCAGGATCTACAGTAGATACAACCATGAAAACACCAGAACACTGAAGTCCGGCGCGTCCCAGGGACGTGAGTAACTGTCTTGGTTCCCGCAACGATGTGAATCAGAAGATATTATAAGAGAAGAAGAAAAAACTATGGTTTTCACTTCCCTCGGTGAATTACTGCAGGAGACAGAATGAATTAAGCCTAAAGGCACAAAGAAGAGACTGTACAACTGGGTGAAACCCACAGTATATAAAAGCTAGTACAACGAGGTGGACAACAAATGAAAAAAGAAACGAATTGTTTCTTTGTTGGTAATATACCTGGAAGTCGCCACCCATGGTATGCGTCTTGCCGGAGCCAGTCTGTCCGTAAGCGAAGCAGGTCGCCATGCCACCTTCGAATATCGTCTGCACTAACGGCTTAGCCGTATACCTGGTAACATTATAAGTATAATATCAAATTAATATTGCGTGGTAAGAAGACCCTGTAATAACTAAATATCATTCCTGACTGCCAAACGAGAACTTCAGATCAAAATATCATATATTTTTTTCAGCTTGTTGGAATGTACTATATAATACATTGTCTATGATGTAAGGTAACTCGAAAGCTTAATTATTAGAATCATAACAATAAAACCGCAACTTGAAGTAAATAGCACTAAGCTCAAATCGTATGAATAATCAGCCACACAAAGTATTTAGACACAGAACTAACTTGTAGACAACTTCGTTTGTGCAGGAGTCGTCGAAAGCGTAGTCGAATCGGAACTTCTGGTTCTCGAGGTACTTGGTGAGGTCCACCTTGTTCTTGGGCTCATGCACTATCATCTGGTCCTTTGTCGGGACACTGATTACGTCCACCTGGAATGTAGAACATAAAATATAGCTACATATATATAGTAAGTTGTCATTATTTAGTTATCCAGACAGACAACTTAAGCCGGTCGTCCCTTAGTTTCATAACCGAGTCTGCGACCTAAGGACACTAATTTGGACGACGATTAGAGTTTTATTTTTGATTTCGGTGCCTTTATCTGGTTCCAATAATACACTATGAAATTGTGGTTTAACATTTCCCCAGATGCCCTATTACAAAAACATTAAAAAGATTGTCTAAAACTAATAAACCGATCATCTTATAACTTTACTGACCTCTTTTTTTAAGTTCTCCTTCTTGTTGAGCGGCCTTTTTCTAACGCAGACTGTGATCTGATGGTCCTCCACTGGTTCATTGCCCGTCAGTGGCCGGAATTCGATGCTGTTCTGATACTCTCTGATCATTGCCAAAAACTCCCAGTTGGGGTTGCCAGGGTCCATGTTCATTAACGCTTCCTGGAGATAAAAGGTTTGATTAGAAGTTTTAAAGAAAATTTTTAACCTGAACCCTTAACAGAAGATTTGCAGCCAACTACGTTCTTTCGAGGATTTTTCACTAATGAGGATTGATCTACTTTTTTCACAAAAAATATTTCGACACATCTTGCCTATGAACTCATCAACACTCAAGGCAAGCTTGTTGGAAAGCTAGATTATAACTTCAGTATTTAATGGTTCCTAACCTTTTCCTCTTTAAGCTCGGCCTGTCGTTGCCGGCGCTTCTCTCTGTTCTCCTTGAGCCGCTCGACCTCCTTGACTACATTGGAGCGTCGCACGGCGCCGGACGCCACGGCGTGCGGCACCGACACCGTCGACGACACGCCCGCCGGCCGCGCCGCCGCGCCGCCGCCGGCTACAGTACTCGCCGTGAACTGGAACAGACAATAAATATCAAAATTAATAATTTTACAAATATTATGTGACATGTCTTAGATAAGCCGTACGCACTAGCGGTCACCTTCGCGGCTAGGCGATCCCTGTGGTTACGTTAATGCGTAACGGCGCCCCTTTACGCACAAGCGGTTGACCGCCTAAGCCTTAGGCGGTTGTCATAGCGATTGTATAGCGCCATAGCGGTTGAATATCAACTTGAATAAGCAGTCAACCGCGGAGGGTGGCTAGCCGCGTGCTCAACTGCTAGTGCGTAAAGGTCTGAGCTATGATAATATGTAGAGGGATGTAGGTCTTCAAGAAAGTTGATGCAAGCTGTAACAATTCTAAACATCTTTAGGTCTATGATAAAATTCGCTCTAAACTAAACAAACTTTACAGATTGCACAAACATTCCTGATAAGCTGAAACTTTAACAGTGAAGACTCCAAAAGTGTTCAGAGTAGGTACATTTTAAGTTCGTAAAGGATAAAGGTAAAGGAAAGGACAAAAGTGACCTCTTTAACATTGTGGATCCTTCGCTGCAGATGTGGCATGTACGGCGATTGCTGCAAGCCTTGCGGCACGGAGGCGGCACTGGGCGTGCTACCGGCCCGCGACCGGCCGCCTGACGGGGGCGGCTGAAACGGATGGGAACTACGGTAGGATAGAACAGGACTGTGGACTATGAGGTTTGTGGATGGGATTGGAAGAAACGTTAAACAATAACTGATGAATGGTTTGATTAGCTACTCTAACACATTGTTCGATAAAATTAGCACTTTGTGAATACCATAATACCTAATATGTTCCACTCTTACCCACCTATCTTATAATTAGGAGCTACAATTTTCTAGTCTTTCTACGTTTAAATATTGTATTGTTTACACTTGACAGCTATGTCCCACCTGCTGCGTGATCCTAGTGTTGGTAGGTGTGGGCTGGGGCGGTTGTTGCGGCGGCGGCACGTTCTCGGCGCCGCGCCGGCCCGTCGTGTCGCCGCCGTGACCGTTCGTGTACGCGCCGGCCGCGTTGGACAACCGCATCTGATTGTTGCGTGTCACCCTGGACGGCGCAGCTGTAAACAATAAGTATTTTGTAAGAAAACTAGATATTCTTAATACATAATAAACATGCCTCACGTTCTTATAAGATACTTTCATAACCAAAATAAAAAATAAGCCTTCTTATCAGACAGCTTCATACCAAATAACGCAAACCAATTACATTACATTTTAATAAAAAATCCATTTAAATGATGTCAGCAAATTCCTATATCTTAAAAACCCAAACAGGAACACGGGGAAAGGTTTGAATAAAGCACAACAGATTCAAACAAATTGTGTAAAGAATGCACATTAATAAATTAGACGTCGATCGTCTAATTTATTAATGTGCATTCTTTTATTTTAACTTCTATAACAAAATCGTTGTTTACAACTTTGCAAGTTAATTAATTAATGTTAAAAGAAAGCCTCGCTATAATTTAAGGCTGTAACATTACGTTAACGGCATTATCGCCCACGTCTTCATATATGGCATGCAGATATTTCGCATACAATACAAATGGGTTGAGTTATGCAAAACTGTTGAATCGTGTGTTAATTCTCCGTCTAAATCAACGGAGGAATTATTGTGCCATAACATTTTATAAGGCCTCAGACCAAAATCTGTTTCAATACGTGTCAACTTCATCATCTTCTATAAACAGGCCATATTTATAGTCTTAAATGTTATCTAAGAATCTGAACACACGTATTTTTTAAATCGTAACCAAATAGACTTCGCACAAAGACATTACTTTGTCTATATCCGTCTGAACAATGCCTAGCACATCCATGAATCATACTGACGTAATACTTAAATCTAAGCGAACGGAATAAAAGAAAATCTCCAAAAATGTGCAAAAAGCGTACGCGCAAAATAAGGAGCGTTTATATGTATTGGTGCGGTATGAACAGGTCTTACGTGAGGTTGCCTTTTGTTGTTCCTCGGTTGCCTCTTCAGCAGGCGATTCAGACTTTTCAAACGCTTCCATCGGAGCATTATTATCAGTCGAGTCGGCGACTCGCCGTCGACATCTCAACCACGAACAGCACATTTTTGGTAAAATTTCTTTGTTTATCTCATTACATGTGTGTGCTGCTCTGATAGACTGATTGTTTGGAATGAGTTCAGTTTGCGTCGGCGCAAGGCAATCCTGCGCCTGCGCCGCCCGCCATATTAGGATCTCTTTCCGTAGTCAAGGCAATGAACCGTGACGCACGCGCTCAGCACGGCCGTGCGTGAAGGTGAAAACACATATCCACCTTATTGGTACACGAGATAGTTGACATGCTATTTAAATTCACATTTGCATAATGCGACTGTAATCGATAACCCAAGAAGGGATATAGGGCATATGTACTCGTTTCATTTAAATTCACTTCTAATTTTCAATTACATAATTATACTGACAACACTGTATGAACTGTCAATTTACGACAAACTGATTATGAACTTCTCACGACAAAACAATAAAGTATTATATCCTACTAATTGAGAGAAATCCTCACTCGCATACTAACATCAGTTTAACCGCAAATCTAAAAGAGAGAGGAGCTCACAATAAGCTTACAAATCCCCCACGATTATCGTAAACCTACGCGTCATATCATAAAGCCACAAAAACCAATTTACTGTTAATAAACTCAAAAACTAGGCGATCAGCCTTCTAATACGGTAGAAAACCCTAAGCAAGCCGGCGGCTTACGGTGTACTGACATGAAACTGTTTGATATCGACAAATCGATTACTTGTATCAATCCATTGGACAATCGACTAAAATTAGAAAATAATAGACCTCCCGTTATTGTCCCACGACTAATGAAACATTTACTATGTTGTGACGTCATGCCCTTTTATGTGACTAATCAATAGTTGTGACAGTTCAGGGGTTGTGAACTTGGCAGTGGGGTGTCATTGAAGGGTGAATTAAGTTGCGTAGTTACGCATTTTGGGTGACACCAATTTTTAGAAAAGCTCTGACAAATAACTCGACGTTCTACAACAATTTCTTGATAAATAACAATTAAGTACAAACGACAATTTTAAATAACTACCTTAATTACTCGTAAAAACAAAATAAGCCAAGTCAATCTAAAAGCCCAACTGGGAATTTTACTAAAATACAACGTTTTGTTGAATTACAGGACACGCAAATTAAAGTGCTTAATGGAACCACCTACAAAACACGAAACCATTATTTTATACGTAGCAAAAACCTAAATAATTTTGCATGTAAAAACGAGCGTACATTTTTTTAAGTTTTAGTAAACACATAAATATTGTGACCTCAGTTTGTCCCTCTATTTAAATATACATTGACGAAGGCACAGAAATTTTTTGCACTACCCAAGACTTCTTTAAACCAACACTAAACACCAATACTGCCGAAACATTACAAGACTCATGCACCCTTGCAAAGTTCTAAAATTCAACTGAATCACGAAGGTTTCGTGTATCAGGTGTATACTGTAAATATTGTGATCTGGGTCATTCATTGATTCGCAAACCGTTTAGCAAGTTACCGTCCTATAAACAATATGAATTTGTCCTATTACTTACATTCTCAGAAATGAATATTTCATAATTCAATATTTTTTTTTTACAACATTCGTAGAATTTGTCAATGTTATAAAGAGCAAATGTTACGGTTGCACAGCTGTACAAACGCTGCAAAAACGCGGTGGCCAAACTAAACGTCACATGCCCTAACCTGTAGAACATTGTGTCGTCACCAAATGGGACACGAAAATAATATCGATGGCACTGGCGCATAACAACGGTTCTCTTGACAACGGGAGGACGCATTGATCAATTGGGATCCGCTTCCACGTTGCATTATTCGAAGTCAGCTATTTGTTGCCAACGAATTCGGCCGCGCGGTTATTGGGACCACGTGTCGCGGACACTTCGAATGCTTGCCATATGACATTTGAAAAGTGAATCAAGATCAGTTATTTTGGTTGCAGAGATATTTTGATAGACCTAAACAACAAATAAATTAAGGACTCGTTTCGTAAGCTAAAACAGGGACCATATCTTCTCTGAAATAAATTACAATTATAATGAAAGATTAAAGAAGACAAACAAATACAGAATCAACAACAAATAAATAAAGAACCTTTTCCAGAAAACCATGTGCTATGTTAACGGATATCTAATAATTATTTTAATAGAGACTATTATTGCCTCGTAATATGAATAGTGTATATGGTGATGTAGATAATATAACATCAGGAGTAATTAGTATACGAGCGAACACGTAGCGTTCATGGCAATACACCATAAAAGTTGATATCTATACGAACTTTTACTGCCGTAGTAATAATTATGATTGTTTGTTTGTTTCGAACCGAAAATAACTACTGAATGTAAATAAACACTGTCTATTTGTTGTAGAAACATTATTCTAACAATGAAAATTAAAGTTTGGGGAGTGAGCTCAAAATAATTGTTTGAAGAGTAATCTCTTGTAAGCTTAGACCTTATTAAATTTAAACTATAAGTTCTTATTATAGTAAAATATGTTTGAAACTTGATCAAACTTTTTAAGACTTATCGGCACAAACTATTAAACAAAAATTCTTTAGAATCATATGTATCAGCGATCCTTGCATCATGAATTCACATCAAAATTCCTAATCGACACTAAAATCCCTACAATACTAGAAGCTGATACTAACTAGCTTTCCACAGAATACCTTTCCTTACAAACCCTTGAATAATCGGAATTTCCTGGTACAGAACTGTTTAAGTTATCAGCCGAGTAAATCGTAGACTCGTGCCTGATACTACGCTCGATAACAAGGCATCGTATGTAACGTTTTTATACATAATACGCGAAGACGACTTATGTAACGAATTGCGGAAGAAAGGAAGTAAGACGTTGTTAGTGGAAACTGCTGTCTATCATGACAGCAAGTCGATGACCGTTTGTATAGAAAAAGTAAAAATTCAAAGCGGAAAAGATTCTTCAGTCGGACAACATTAAAACTCGCCTCATATTAGCAACCCCTTCAACATAAGCTAGAATAGAATCCACAATGATAGAAAATGAGGGATATAAAAATGATAAACATACCCATATTATAATCTTCAGAAAAATCTAAAACGTTAATTCAAGTAGCAGCTTACTCACATGAGACATTCGAGAAAAGCTCTACTAGTTTTAAGTGACATCGGGACTTTTAATCACAAGCAGCGCGACGTTATTTTCCAAAATTAGAATTGTCCAACGGACATAAACTGTAAAACAAACTGACTATAGGGACTCAAGATGATGAAGTGACTGTAAGTACACTATAAAAGGCTAACGGTTCTTTCGCAAGACTAGTAAACATTTTGCCAAGTACCATAATTTCAAACGCCTCATTATTCAATTGATCCTAAACGAGCTATAATCGACTTAGTAGTAGAAGCCCGGCGACATGAAGGCTGGGTGCAACGAATCGCATTAACAATGAGCGAGCATGCAAAATTTTGATTAACCCAATCATGGATCACACGACCTCGTAGATCTTGTAAAGTATTGTTCACTACGCTTAAATCCTGGATGGAGGACTCTGAATGTAATTGTAATATGATCTATAGTAAAATAGATGAAGCCAACCTAAATCATCTTAACTATCTCTGCCTCTCCAACTTTCATAGTTTGAAAATTGGGGAGAGGCTTATTTGAAAGTTTATCAAAGAAAGATTATGCAAACAGTTTAAAGATGGCTGTGTAATATCGGAACCCTGTACTTCCTTTTTCAAGACCCCTCAAGACTTAATTGACAACAAAGTCAACAACAACAACGAAGGAGTCTACGGTGGACAAACACGTGTACCTATTAAAAGTCAATAAAATATTAATGCACGCGACAAATACCACGGGGTCGCGACACGGTCTCACGGGTCGTTACCCAGCGCCCACGCAAATGAATCAGAAAGGATCCTTCACGTTCTTTATAATATCATAAACAAAAACCTCGTCTTGTTACAAACTCATTGCATGTGGGATGGGGAACAAACGAAAGATGTTGATGATCAACG